AAAAAAAAGCTTATTACCCGGGAGGGAAACAATCGTTCATTGTTTGTGAACCAATCCTGTTTCGTGAGAAAATAAGAAGGGGCAATAGGCAATGGGCTACAATAATTAGATGCTAAAGTTATTTTGACCATACCAATAACTTTTCTTCAATATTTTTTATGCTTCGATTGGCATTTCTAATAATCCAATCAGTAAGACACTGACAATAATTGACAGAAAGTATTCTTCTTTCTCACGTTCAATAGTATTGGTTTCGCACACGATTGTTTAATTGTCTAGTTCCTTATTACTTAACCAACCCCTGTATGAATACGGCTCCAGCACACGAATTCTTGCTGTTGAGACTGTAAAATGCGATCAGACAGGTTGTGAGTAATGTCATCAACAATTTATCGTAATAGAAGGTCAGGTGATACTGTGATTCTATTTACCAGACCGTTTAGTCAAATAATGCTAACTAACCGCTTGCTCGTTACTATTACTTACTTACAAACTCATTCACACAGACGTTCACCGACTGATGTCACCAGACCTCCGCAGGTTCATAGAACGCTTGATAGATCTTTACGTAGCCCCAACGGAAACACAGGAATCTCGCTTTCTCCTAATTCTCAAATCAAATATTCCCGTAGGCATTGAATTATGGTATACATATAAAAGACGTACTGCTACTTCTGAGAATCCCTACGACGAAGCTGCTGTGACAACTCAATGGAATTCCTCCCCTTCGTCTTCCTGTGGTATGGACGCTTTTGTCACTCTCCTCAACCCAGCTTCATACAATCCCGCCCTTTTTGACTGTCTCGCAGAAGTCGTTACTCCGTCGCGTGAACTCGTAATTCGGTGGATGGCGCCCTACCTGCGGAGATTTAGCAAATACATTCCATCGCAAAACATGTGGTTGTGTGATCAGAAGCGTATGGGACCCGAGTACATGAACAGAGATGTTATGGAGATGTATCTGAGACAGGGAATTTGCGAATGTGTGGATGTGTTGAGACAGTTTAACGGTCGAGAGGATGTTATTGCCATTGCGTTGGAAGTGTTAGAAGGTGCAGAGATGCCGATGTATTTAAAGGTTATGTTGAGAGGTATTTCTGATGAGGAGCTTCCTTGGTAAATTTCTCTAAATGTGAGTAACGGAATATAGAAGAAATGGTATTATGGATGCTTGTAGTCTGGATGAATGGTGTTGAGGTTTCTTTTAGGTAGGTATTTGGTAGACGGGTTAGATAGGTTACTATAGAGGAGAACATGAGAAATCGTGTGAATAACCGAATACAATGAATTATGGTAATAGAGATGCTGGATTCCGCTATATCTTCAATTGATAAGCCATCCTTTCTTCTCCTTATTCTTATTTAAATTCATAATAATAGAGCACAAAATAAATTAATCGGTTTGACATAATATAAGGAAACATGGCCGCCGTAGCTTGCGCTTGCTGTCAATACTATATATTGTGAAACAAAAGTATATATTTATTTGCTTCTAGTGCCGCATCCTAATGACTAATCCTTTGGGATTTCTAATATCATGTATCAATAGGATAAATACTATATACACATACATGGGGCATTCTGTAACAGATCGGACAGAAGGAGCATAATGAATAGCTTACAAGCGAATGGCTGAATTCAAGGGTTATATAAGATGTTGCCTTGACCGTAGCTAGCTCGATCTCTCATTGTCAAGCGGTTGCATGCCCTACACCAGATCTGGCTGTTAGTTGGAAATTACAGCCGTAGGTCAAGAAATTCATCAACTGCGGGAAGTCGCTTAAACTCAACGCCGTACTCGTTTCGTACAAACGCTTAACGGATGTTGGGCTGGGGTTGTATCACAGAAGCTGTCGAGAAAGGTTGTGAGTAGGGTTCCGTTCATCTAGTATTGCTCTGCTCGTCCTTCAATCCATCTATACCCTTGTTATCGACTCGGACGAATCACTAGTTGTATTTACGTTTCTCTTACGCTCCACGTTTATGTTTATCCACTAGACGGCCAATTTTCTTTTAAGATTATTTTGCACGAACCTAGACCGGTATATGGAAAAGGCACCATTTATTATCTGAAAGAGTTCCATTATATCTCCCAACTTGGTTGTTGAACAATGCGCGACATGTATTTGTAAGTTTGGGGAGGGTAAGTATATTATCGGAATAGTTCGTTTGATGACCTTGCCAATAATTATATTATTCCTACTTAGTCTTATTATTTACGCTCAATATTAGGTATCTGTTGGCCTCCCAAGGATAGGAGCGTGAAACATGGCCACTACCGGACATGTGTTTTAGTCTCAAGCGCGATCGGAAATAACCTGCCGACCCACTTTGTCAAATTCGTGTAAATAGCCGATTTGCGAAGGTTTGCCTTTAGCCGAGAGGCAATGAAATGTCGCGTCTTCATTTTGCAAAAGATATTGTAGTTCGAATTGTGTTTCTAACTCACAGCCTAGTTTGTTTTTTGGCACCAAGTCCTGGTAGAATGTCAATTGCGTTATCATTCAAACTAATGGAGTAACACAGTGGTTGAAGATAACTATGTCTATGGCAGAATACGACGGATATCAAGGAATGGAAATGTAATACAAGCTCAGCCATTATTTTCACCCGACTTTGATCAATCGTTGAGAACATTGATAATGCATCGCAGATGGGACACTGTAGTAAGTTTTGCGCATGTGTCTTTAGAATTACACAAGAAATACGAAGGGATAAAATTATGTTCAACATGAAATAGAATCAATTGTGCGCGGAGCACCACGACCTACACAAAGAAGACAGTTTTTATGAAATGCGAATATTCAAACAGCCTTTAATGACCGTGGCAACCGGAGGCTCCCGTAAAATTCTTCGAGGCATTGTTTGATATTAAAATTATGTGACAATGGGGTCCGTATTATTTCATCGACAATCATTTCACCGACAGTACATTTCACCGACAATTAACTACCAAAAAAGGATAACTTCGAAATAATGTTGGTGAAGATTTGTCGGTGAAATGACTGTCGACGAAATGATTGCCTCCCGTAACAATGCCATCAATTGATTATTACTTATTACGATGCTTATGATGGCGAATGGCGTTTCATACTAGCCACCTCACCAAAATCTTTCTTCGGAACAACATGCCTGAAGTTATAGGCTGGCCCTTCTAACAGTATTGACTTAAATCCAACAGAGAATCTCTATAGTAGTGTTAAAGAAATGTAAGAGGGGATGCATTCCAACTTTTAATAAAATCTGCTGGTTTTCAGCTTTCAAATATATGTTAATTCATCTTTATTTGCACCGTTAATTCTTGCGTAATGTGTAATTCCGTAATTCGCCATGTTTTCTCTCGCGTTTGTTTTTTGTTTTGCAAACTCTATTTTCTTTTCTCTTGTTGTGGGTTCTATACCTTTTTAATGTCTTTAATATTACTCGTTTCCTTATCTCATTTCTATCACAGATTTCTATTAGTAAGCCTTTTTGCCGGTAAAGTTGCTCCTGTTCTAGCAAAGAATTGACATGCACTGCATTATTTGCCAATAAGGTTACGCCTAAATTTGATAGGCTTATGAGAAAACATGCCGCCAAAGGATAATTAGAAATACCAAAGTGCCTAAAAGAACTCGAAAGAGAATAACATCTTAACTAAGTTAATTATGAAAGAAATAAAAGAAAGAGAATTTCTCCAATTAGTTCAGTGTCCCATTTTCAACTCCAAGTAAAAAGTCTAAACTACCAAAAAGAAAATAAAAAATTACTGCTTTTTGCTCGACGGACGAGCATAAAGCATTCCAGCTACTTAATTTGCGAGGTTGAGAACGCAACGCTCGAACAATTAAAAACTACGAAATTTACCGGACGGCTATCACATTCATTGACCCGAAATTGACGAGGACATAAGTTTACGAGTTTTTACCGATGGTTTACATGGTGGTTGTTGTTCATTATGCCGACGATGAAAGAATTTTTATAGTCTCTTTGCGTAAATTCTGCAAGTATTATACCGAATTATTTATTGAGGAAAATTTTGACGGCAAGAGAATTACGTCCCATCAGATTTCATCTCGATGAGTTTCTAGTCTCAAACTTGATACAATGCATCAGTAGCGTTAATATTATTTGTTCAATCGTCACGAAATGTGACAGATTGGATTAAAATGAAATTAATATTAATTAATATAAAAATTTAAATTTTTTGGGGGCAATTTTTTGGGGGGTTCGGGTTAGGATTTAGGATAACTTAGTATATATTAATATTAATATGGGTTCAGAGGCATTAAAGAAGTCCCCAAATTTCATTTTAATATTAATCCGATTTTTTGTTTTGATCTGCCACAAAAAATACCATATTAATTGAAACCCTACTAATTACTCTAGATATTTTGGTCAATATTTATCACGTAATTACATTGATATACTGTATTTTATATTTATAATATTTGCAAGGTTACTATGAGTACTCAAGTAAAAACAATATAATGAGTATGAACTGAATTTAACTACAAGAGATATCCTATGATAAGATACGTTCGATAATAAGATCTTGGTTCCAATGTTCATAGAAAACAGATAAATTGACTTGGGGTATCGATCGGTTACAATCTCTATAATTCTTAAAGCGCAGCGGATAAACTTCTGATATTTCTAAAACGTGACTTCACTACGGATATATCAAAATGTACTATTAATTCACTGTATCAGCTATTGACACATGAATTTTACATTACTGGAATAAAAACTACACAGTTATTGCTGCTACGTTAAGCACAGGAAGTCATAGTCAGGGTTTATCCATGTGCGCTCAATAAAATCCGAAAACTTACTATCAGAATTCTTCGTGACATGAGAACTTTAATATACGTACTATTACATACTCAATAATAGTGGTCTAAAAATTGATACAGATACGTTATACATAATCAGTCAGGCTATGTCAAACGATGACTTTATAGACACATTACTTATTCCAGAAACTTTATACTGATAGAACATCACGCGAACCGAAGATATCTATGTATCATGTTTCTGACTGGAATAGAAACTAGTAACTGGGTACTGGATTTTATTGGTTGGGTGAGATATTAGGATATTAATTCTAACATTCAATATTACCATGCACAGATGCACAGATGCTTTCTCGTATTTAACCCCAGTGGCCTATATTAATTGTAAATCTCTATTACTTTAATCGGAAACCACACGATTCATGTTATTTGTACTGATTATGATGTATTGCATATAAGAATACATTCGTGACAGATAACAAGAACGGTCTTGACAATTATGTGAATTCTATTTATGTATTTATTTATTCTACTTGTTAACTGGGTACCATCAATTCAATTTCTTTTTGGCACGAGTGATTCTGTGCATGCCAATAGGCCATAGTCTTTGTTACCCCATAATAATGAACCAATGCTGCTCCAACCACAAAAATATGAAATATTTGATGAGACGATCCCTGTAAACAATAGGATTATAAGTTAGTTCCTTCCTACATAATTGACAGCGACGAGTCTCCTTATTTCGTTGCTTCACTTACCCATATGTCGAATGTACCTGGAAACCATCTCTCGGGTACTCTCGCTCCATAAATAAGAGCTCCTGCTATATACATGCCGCCCATCAACAGCATATGATTCAATGATATAACGTCGAAGCATAAGCGCCACTGCAAACGAAAATACAGATGTTATAACACCATAATATTTAGCATGGCAAACTATACATAATCTATCATGTCTTACCCCATATATTATCAGCGCATGAGCTATAGGAAACACAGCACTTAATCCCATGGCTATAAATAACCCGGTCCTAAACCATCTAAACTCTGGTGATCGGAAGTGACTAGCCACAGCAACCACTATCTGCGAAACGTTGGTAGTCATTGGTTAGTATTATAGTATTGATTGATACACATTATCATGAAATACTTACTGTTGCTCCGCCAAACAGAGATATCATGCCAAGATATATTGCCTGTAGTAGAGGAGCGCAATAAAAGCCTGTTCAAAAGCAAATTAGGATAAGCATGAAAAATATATACTAGACAATAATACAGCTAGACAAATTTGATATATCATACCGTAATAAATCATAGGGAAAAACGATCCCCTGTTATAGACAATGAAGAATTGTTATTAAAGTATCAACTACCACATGCCAACACTTTATAATTGCTAGTAGACTTACACTATGAGAGTGACAATTCCAATATAATCGCACCTGTTCCAATCAGCACACACCTAAATGGATCAAATGTCGAATATAAGACATCATTTCTCAATACTTGATTGAATGGAGAGCATCTTTTATATTAAACTCTTCTAAACGCCCTTTTGTCCAAAACCTCCCGTCCCTTACAGTACCTTCTCTGAGTGACAACTGACTGTATGGAAAGTAGATGATAAACCTAAACAAGTCATTGCTCCCCCGAGAAAAATGTAAAATACAGCAAAATCCGGCCATGAGGTTGACTGTATATTTGCAAGGACTTCCCAATAGGTTGTAAATGCGATAAATAGGAAGGCAAGTGCGCCAAGAAGATGGGACCAAATATTGACTATCCAAAGTGTTGAGGAGTTGGGGAAAGAGAGAAAAAATCGATTAATTGGTGGACTAACACAAACAGACAATCTTCATCTACAGGAGCCAGGCGTTGTTAATAAAACTGAGAGTACAGTCCACCTTCTTAATATGACACCCGTTACCTCGATGATACGCTAACATAACAGGGCTATACAATCCATACAACGACTAGACTTTTTTGTCTTTGGTTTTTGTTTTGCTTCTTTTTTTTTTTTTTTTTTGCTCTCATTATGATGCTTTACATATGACCCGAATCCATACATTATCACCCAACTTATTTGACATAGTTAGCTCCTAAGCTAATATAATATCATCAGAAACAGTGATAACACAGCGTGAATCAACATTAGGAGCTCTCCTCTATTAAAAAAAAACCTTTCCTCTCGAGATCCTTACCTATTCAAGCTCGATCCTCGCCAGCTTAAATGTATGGCATGCTTGTGTCTAGTATCCAGTCTTTATATCAAACAATGTAATAAATTCTTTTCATTCAATACTTTGACATCACAGCTATTGACCAAACTCTGTCAACCATGTCATATTAACGGTGAACTGTGCTCTCGGTAAATACTTTCAACACTCATACCCGCAAGTCTTACTTCACATCCCCTTTAACATTGCCTCGTAAACCGTCCCCATGATAGATTCTCTTTCGCAAAATACCTACCGCTCTCGTTATGAAGGTAAAACAAACTCTTCGCACACTTGTGGTAGCTAAAAGTTGGTCTTCTGTAACCTCTTAGTATGTCCTTATTATCTTGCATCCAACTGGGCAAATCGCCAAAATTACAAGTCAGGGAAACTCTCGTATGAACCGCACTTAGCATCGCTGGGATATAGTGCTGATTAGCTGAGTTATGTTTTTGTAAAGAGATAGTCTCTTCCTCTATAGTGGAGGTGTCTGTTGAAAAACGCTTTGTGTGAGACATTTTGCGGCGAGACAACATGGTATACAAGGGAAGAGCTGGGAAGTGCGAGGGAAGTTTGCGAATATTAGTGATTCGATGTACAAGAAAGTGATAAGTGGGGCAGACAAAATGACGATAGTGCCACAGATGGGGATTTCAGGGGCGGGATGGTCGGTAAAGCGCCACATATTTTTGTAATAGACTTTCTATTTTTGCAAAAACAAAATTAATTAAACAGCGAAAGCGTTTATCCAAGAAAATTATGTTTGGGAATTTGTCCACCGCACTTCCAATACGGAGGCGTGTTGATGCTTAGTGCAGATTACAAGAAAAAGGTTGGGGTTAACTGTAGTACAGCATTTGCACACACGATTATCACATGAAATGATAAAATCCCCAAAACAGAGATCGCAGTTACTAAATTTGGATTACATACAGATCGAACACCTGCGAGTAGTACTAATTAATATCATAGTTACACGACTTATTCTAGAATGGTGACATCAAATTGAAACCCATCCAGCAGCCCAAACGGTACTCGATTCTATAAATGTTATACAGACCAATGTTTTTTTACATTAACCCCGCTCCGATAATTCGTAATCAATATTGGTTCAAATAAACCGAGATGGTTTTGTTTGCGGCTTAGTTTGCGGCTAGTTACGTGTAAACCTTCATACTTATTACTCGGAACGTTTCTCCATTCTAGCACCAGCAAGCGTTGAAAGATTATCAGTGCAGGAGAAAAAAAGAAGCAAAAGAAAACATACTACTGCTATGCTTACTATTACTCAAATTGTAAAGAATGTTTATAAACCCAAATAAAAACAGTATACACTCCCGTCTCAAAAGTCACCGACCACCTCCTAAATTTGCGATTAAATGAGAATATTGGCATAACGAGCAATGCAATTACCGTGAAATTAATACCGAATTTAGCGCACCTTATAAATAACATATACACAAAAATTGCAATACGTTAGATAGTAAAATTACAAATTTATATAGAGCCAACGTTTATTCAACGAAAGACGTTAAAATTAGGGTATGCGACTCGAATGTTTGAAAAATTGTTAAAAATTAATATACAAATAAATTTACACAAATTTATATTTATTCAAAATTACAAAAAAAGCGTTATTATATTTGTAAATATTGTCCAAATATCTTGCTTCTTCGTTGAGAAATTGAATTTTGAATTTAGAGTACTATTCAGTAGTCACCTACCACCTAAATTTTACAAATAAATGCAAATATTGACATAACGAGCAATACAATTACCACGAAATTAATACTAAACCTAGCGCATTTTGTGTACAAAAAATTGCAATGTGTTAGCTAGTAATATAATAAAATTTATATGTAACTAGCGTTTGCTAGAAGATCCAACAGTATTGATGTTTTCTGATTCCATTATGTTTATGTCGCAAGCTTTTGTTAACGATGTCAACGAAGACAGAGGAATATCAATTGTCTTTATTTATACAGCAAATTTACATATCTATAACGTCTACATCTTAGTATTTGATCGTATGATTCTAACGACATGTTTATTGCTTTAATCGTGCTTAATCGTATTATTCTAATGCATGTCTATCGTATGATTCTAACGATATGTTTACTGCTTTAATCATATGATCTAATGACATGTCTAGTGTAGTGCATGTCTATCGTATGACTTTAATCGTATGACTTTAATCGTATGACTTTGATCGTACAACTTTAATCGTATGACTTTAATCGTATGATTCTAATGGTTGACATTATCGTATGATTATAGTATCTTTTGTCAATGTGTAAGTATTGTATTGGACAATTAATCATCGTACGGGGTGTGATCCGCCAATTAAATTGAAACGTCTTACAAATTGTCACGTAAACCGACGAGGGGCCGACTTATTGAGACTGACTGTAATTTCATTGCTTGTTATGTCAATATTTGCATTTATTTGTAAAATTTAGGGGTGGTTGGTGACTACTGAATAGTACTCTAAATTGAAAATTTAATTCCCAACGAAGAAGCAAGATGACACAAAAATTTCAAGTTGTCCATTGGTTAATTGAGAATTTTGCTGAGTAGTTGGGAGTGACGAAATAACCAATACACATCAAATTAATAAAAAATAATGATGGATTTGTCTATAGAAAACTAGAGGGTGATGGTGTAGCCTTCCACCATTGGCAGGCAGTCATAAAATAACTTTCCCCATAAAAGAATAATCATTTTTTAAAATTGCATAATTTTCTTCCTTGTTGTAACAACTTTAATAAACAATGTACAAATTACAAAAAGAAATTAGATATTGCATGTGCAATTTAATGCTTAAAAATTATCTTCTGGTGCTTACAAATGACTATATTGAATTTTTTAAAAATAGATATAATATTACAAACATAAGACCACAATAATGGAGTAGTAATTCAGGCTGTTTTTACCAAAAAATAAGTCTAATTTATTAATAATGTTGAATGAAAGAATTTAGTATTAACATTAATGGAAGAACTACAGACAGCATTTTATGGTATTTACCTTCTGTCCCAATCAACTTTAATATTAAACCAAGCTGATTTAATGTATTAACCTTGTCAGCAATTTTCTTTGTGAGGTGGCTGCACTCCCTCACCACAGTGCATGCAAATGGTATCAACATGTTAATTTATAGTGGCCACTCATGTTTATTATACATTTTACATGATACAACTCGATTCAATATTGGAAGAACTATGCATATTCTTGTTAATGCTAATTTTTTTGCCAAAACTTTTGTGACACACTGTATCTCATCTAATACTGACAAAGCCTCTAATGCCAAATGTTGAATGTCAATAGTAATTTGGCAATAAATCAGTAAACCAGAATTTAATATAACAGCTTTTTATTAACTAAAATGTAAACTATTTATTAAAATTTTATGTAAACTGATCATCTTAATTTGATTTGAATGGAAAATAAAATCATGCAATTATAATCTAAAACTTGCTGCTCTTGTATTTCCAATATGGTTAACTTAATCCAAAGAAATTAATAAAGAACCTTAATTCTGGAACTTTCTGCCAAAGCTGCTGCTTCTGTATATCCAATATCATTACTATACAATTTTAAAGAAGTCAGAGAAGAGTTCTTTGGTATGCAAATCTGGATAAAGTAAAAAATTCCGATACATGGTGCCCCTTTTGTCCATGGAAACGAGAAGAACTTTGTAAAAATGTAGTTACAAAATTATTAGGTTCACCTTCTGATATTCGTAGACCAGATTTCTTAAAAACACCTGATCATCCATTAGGACTTGAACTAGATATGTACTATCCACAAT